ATGGAGAAATTTTTCAAATTTTTCTATCGTTCTCATTCTTGCCTTTTTTATTTAATCGACAAATTAACACAAATTAATAGAACAAGGAAAGATTAAAAGACACCGGAAATGGACGTATTGGATATTTCTCATTTATTTTTTGTTTGATTAATAAATCGATGAACAGGTAGAGGTAGAGAATTCAAATGAATGAATGAATTGAGATGACTTCATGAAAAAAAAGAAAAGTAGCATGAGATGGAGAAGATTTCTTGATAAGTCGTCGGTAAGTCTCCCTGTTCATGCAAGAAAAAGGTAGAAAGAGAGGAAGAAAGGAAAGTGATAAGTAAAATATTCAATTGTAAAATTAGAACACACATATTTCATTCCTCTGTTGTAATACAAGAGTGATAAATATTGGTGTATTATTATCATTACTTTTTAAATTAATGCAATTTTTTCTCTTTTTTTTGAGAAGTTGATTAGAGCTTATAAAACTAAATAGTAAAATTTAAGTTTGTAAAACCTTGAACACTTAAAATTCGAGTTCCGAAATTCAATAATGAAAGTATGTATATTCATGGAAACGATACCACTTTTTTACAGAAAGATTCTTTTTAAAGCAACGTTGTAGTTATTTGCATTAATTTTCATCTATAGATATTGTCTATAATTAAAAATTAATAATGAGTAATGCAAAGATTTTAATTTAAAAAATTTGTCACTGATTCAATTGAAGTAATATTAGACTGGAATATTAGCATTTATAACACAATAATGCCTTCTTTCTTTTTTAATTAATGCTTTTTTATTTTTCTTTTTTTTTTTGATAAATTGAAGGAGAAAATATTATGAGAAAGATTGGAAGATCATTCGAATTTCCTTAATATTTCATCTTTTGAAGAAAGTCAAAAAACAAGAATTAAGATTAACACTTACTTAAGATTTTAACTGAACACTTAACTGAATTACTTAAGACTTTAATAATTGTAATATCTGAATAAAAATTTTACAAAAAAAAGGTGTTAGTTCCAGAATATAAATTAAAATCCGTAAATGTACCGGATAATATATTATATTTATTTGTAATGTCATTAAAATCATCAAAAAAGGGAGTGTAAAATGAAATTAAATCTTTTTTTCAACATCGGATTCATTGAGATAAAAGAAAGAAATTATAAAACCTAAATATTTGAACAAATGGAAAATAATATTTCATCAGGTAAAAGTGTACTGTAATATTCAAATTTCATAATTTTTATCTTTTAAATATATTTTCGTTATTGTTTTTCTTATGCACGCCCGAATGAATAACAAAGTAAAATAGAATATTAAAAAAAAAATGAAAAAAAGCTTCTGGGAAAGTCTTAATTCAGGTTATTATCATAATTAATTAATCGTTACAAAAAGAACCGAAAAATATTTGATGATGAATTATTCCAATAAATTTTACAAATTTTTTTGTAATTTTTTTCTATCTGATTGAATTTAGGGTATTTGAGAAAGACGAAAAAATTGGAAAGAAAAAGAAATGAAAAAAAAAAGAAAAGAAAAAAATGAGTGTTAAATGTTTGTAATAATTTTATAATATTTAAATCAATTTGATCATTTGAAAAAAAAAATTCTATAAATTATTATTATAAATAAATTAATTGCTTCAAAAAATTCCCACAGTCAGATTTTTTTTTTTTTGTTAATTTAATTATTTCATTCTTTTCTTATTCCTTTTTTCTTTTCTCTTTTCTAAATGTATTTTTTCTTTCCTTTTCAAATTAATTGGAATTAATTACAATTAATAATAATCTTACATATCATTAAATTTTTTGTTACCATATATTTTTATTTATTTGTTGCAAAAGAATTCGTTTTTTCTTCCTTTTTATTTCAACAATTTTTTTCATTGATTTCAATAATCAATGAAATATTTGCATTAATAAATGAAACATACTGACATATTTTATGATTGTTTAAATAAAATTTAAAATTAAAGACTATTAAAAATGAATAAAAATATCGGATTAATAAATATTTCACTTTTGAAATTTAGCAAAAAAATTAGATACAATAAAAAGTGAAGTGGCTGAAGAAGTCAAAATTTTCACTTTTTCCAATACTTTTTTCCAGTGCAAACTAATGAAATTAATTTCTGGTTGATATTTTGGATTCGAAAACAAATTTAAAATTAGCACTATCCATCTCGAGCTTTCATACAATTATTATTTGCTTACTTTAATTAAGTATTTGAATTAATGAATGCAAATTCTTAATACTTCAAAATCATTCAGTTCGGATATTTTAAACATTTAATTTTTAAAAAATTTTGTGATTTTTCCTCAGCCAGTTTCTTTATTTCTTGTTGTTTTAATTAAAAATAAATAGTAATGTACATTGCAAAAATTAAATTTTGAATATATATAAAATTTAGCAGAATTAATTGTGATTTAAAAAAAAAAAAAATTAGGTTCTCACTGTTTTTCTGTGATACTATTACTAAATGTTAACGGATTGGCTTAATTAATCAACATGTCGAGAAATACTTATCAATTCAAACTATTTCAATGTATTACTGTTATGGTTGGATGTCGATTTTTAATAATATTTAAATAGTAAACAGAAAACGGTATTCATTAGTGAAATTTAGAATTTTTCGGTCTGAACTGGCAAATATTGCACTCATCTTTGCTGACATAAATTTACTTTCAAACTTCATTAATAAAATTAAAAATACCTTTTATCAAAAATTATATTTCTTACATAATCCTTTGCATAATCTATTGTTTTCACATCAATTTTGTCTTCAGTATGCTAACTTTTGTTATTAAAATTAAAAATTTTAAAAATAAGAAAAAGAATTTAGAGTTTTTTCTAATTTCAAAAAAATTTCAATTGCATTTTAATTAATTAAATTGTTTTGAGAAATTTTCTTTGATATCATTTTCTCTTCCAAACAAAAGTACGAAAATAAAAAAAAATTAATTCGGTAATAAAAGAAAAGAAATCATTTACCGGAAATGAAATTGAAAATTATTTTATCAAATCTTATTGTATGTGTAATCAGCGAATTGGGAGAAAAGGCGGAGTTGTTGCTTTATTCCTTCGTTTTTTTTTTTTTTTTTTTTTCAGATGTGACAACTACGATGACTTTAAAATCGGTTCTAATTTGTTGGTAGACGGCAAGACGACGACGACAACAACAAAGACGACTTACGACTACGTGTACACGTATATACGCAACCTTCCTACCATGACCATTATTTAAGGTTTATTCAAAGTTTTAATTACAATGCAAAAAAAAAAAAATACAAAATTAAATTTGAAGGTATTATATCATTACGCACAATCAACAATGAATGAATTTTTTAATTCAAATCTTTGTTTGTTATTAATTATAATTATACTGTAATCACTATTACTATCGCAGCAATCAGATCTAATATTATGATTGCTGATACAAATGTCATTATTATTACTGTTATTATTATTATTATTATTATTATTATTATTATTATTATTATTATTATTATTATCATTATCGTTATTACTATCATTATTTGCACGAGTATACTATTTGCTAGTACTACTAAAATTTTTATTAGATGTTAATTAATTAACTGTTTGTATAAATGTTAAATAAATTCTCGCCAGCCATAAAACTCAAATTAATGCTTTTTTTTGTGAAATTTCTAGAAGTGATGTAAAAGAACTATGAATTTCAAAGTAAATTAATGGCAACATTTTATAGACAAAAAACTTCTAATAAAAAAAAAAGTAAAAATGAATGTTACTTACAAATTTCTTTTAAGAAGGATTAACTTTTTTTAAATAAATGCTTTGCTCCAAAAACTTTTTTAAAATTTTTACAAAATGATTTTGGCACACGGAAATATAAATAGTACTAAAGTAAAAGATTTAAATTATCATCAAAAAAATTTTATAATGCGTAATAATAATAATAATAGAATAAAAAATAGCTAAAACGAAATTTATTGAATTATTTTTCAAATTATTCCTATTAATAATTAGTTCAAATCATAGCAAAATATGAAAGTTTTATGTTTTTTTTTTTTTCAAATTGAAAAAAAATTTTTTAGTTAGAATTCTTTTCAAAACAAAAAAGAAAAAAAAAAGCATAAAAAAAGTAGAACCAAGTTGCCTTGATAGTTTTTTTATTAAAAATTTAATCACAATCCTTCCTGTCCGTCAATTGTCATTAAAATTGCTTAGCTACTAAAAAAGTTTCCTAATGCAATATGTGATAGTAATTTTTTTGTGTTACTGGCAAAATTAATACAGTTTATTTCTTATTAACTTTTCGTATTTTCTAGAATTGATGGAAATTGAAAATTAGCAGTTAACAATGCAAAATATATAATTTTGAAAGAAATATTTTTAAGACATAGGAAAATACTTGTAATTACAAGAAATTAAAGTTTTAAAAGCATTATTGATTGATTGATTGATTGATTGATTGAAGGATTATGATTGAAGAGATGAGATACTTAAAATATATGAGAGAAAATTAAAACAAATAATGTATTAATATTATTTTTCTTCTTTTCAATATCTATACAAATACTATATTAATCATTTTGCATTTTATCATGTTATCAAATTTTTCAAACAATAAAATTTAAAAATAATGATTTTCAACATTTTTTTACTAAAACAAAATGCTAAAGTTTTCAATTAGTTCCACTCTAATTAATTAATTTGCTGATTAATAATCAATTAGTTTTTGAAATATTTGAATAATTCTAATAAAAAATTGATTTTTGCCTTTTTCTGAAATTTTTTAATTCTTATTAATGTATGATTTTATTTACTTTTTTTGCCTCTTTTTTGATAATCAAATTTTTTTGTGTTATAATTTTAATTTTATCATTAACTATTTTAATTAATTTACTTATAAATATTCTTAAATATGCTTTCTTCAGTAATTATATTAATTATAGATGAAATATTTATTGCTTCTTTGGACTTTCTATTCGCATTTTGTGTCAATAAATACTGGAAATTTTGGAATGAATAACGCAATGATTTGCAGTAGTGAACCAAATTATCGTATTCTTGGTAAGGGTTAAGTGCAAATCATTTATCAATGGTTTTTATTAATTATTCCAAATTATAGTAAATTAAAATTGAACAAGAAAACATGTATTATTTGTAAACTACACTTTGCTTTTTGTTTTTCGCTTTTTCAGGACGACAAATACGCGTACGTGAAAAACGTTTCGCACCATATTATCATTTATCAACAAATTCATATCCGAATATGTTAATTTATTCTAAACCATTAAATGATCATATGAAAGAAGTGATAACGAATGAACATAATAGACTTCGAAGAATTGTGTGTTTTCATCGATGTATAATTATGCAAGAAAAACATTTTAATATTACTTTGTAAATAAAAAAAAAAAAATTAAAAGGTTAAAAAATTTTTTGCATATTTAATTTTCAACAGGAATTTAAAATAAATGTTGCAACATTATGTAAGAAAGTGAAAATGATTGATGATATAAATATGTCACATTCTGAGAAAAACGTAAATAAGTGTTATACGTAATATACGTCCGTAATATGCGCTATATTTCAAAGAGAAAAAGAAGAATTCAATAGCTAAATTAAAATTTAAAAAAAAAATAATAATTTGCAATTTAACACTTTTAGATACCAGCAACCGATATGTTACAAATGTATTGGTCAGACGAACTGGCGATAAGCGCTCAGCGACATGCCGATCGATGCGATTTTCGGTACAGCAAAAATTATTGATTGATTAGAAATGATTTGTTGACGTAAATTCTTCGTTTAATCTTTGATTTTATGAGATTTTGCAAAATAAAATGACTGTTGGCAAGTAATTGAAATGAAATAAAGCTATGTCATATGAATATTTCAGTATAAATATTTATATAAATTACCTAATAAATTGAGTAATTAGTTAGCATCAATTAATTATTAATAGTCATTATTTTTTATATTTTTTGGCAAATTTATTCAATTGTTAAACTTTATTGACAAACATAAGAAAGATTTATTTTGAAATATATTTGTAATCAAATAATATGTCTGTCATTTTGTTTATATTTGATCTAAAATTTTGAAACAAAAAAAGATGAGAGCGAAATAAAATCACAGTGTAAGAAAAAATTGTTTCAGAAAACTAAAACATTCGTATTTAATTTAAATTTAATTATAGACATAGTAATGATCGTATAAATATTGGTGAAAATATTTGGGTAGCACCATATTCCAATTATACGGAAGCAATTTCACGATGGTTTAACGAAGTATACGATTTACGATGTGATTGTAAACATGCTTATAAACATTGCTGTGGACACTATGTCCAGGTATTTCTTTCAAACTCATAGTGATAACAGTGATAATCAAAATTATCAGGTTTCTATCATTGTCATCAATACAATGTGCAACTATCACATTACTTTAATGATATTCTGATGATAATGATGGACTCTGATTATTTTATCACAATACCGCGATTGATGATAATGAGAGTCATGATTGCATTATATCATAATACCATGATTGCGTATAATGACACCTATGACTTTTAATCATTCGTTATGGCACTATCCTAATCATATGACCATAATATGATCACTATACTATGAATATATGAGTTAAAATTATATTTCAACAATTTGAATTAAAGTTATTAAAATAAATAATTACTTCATGATTGGTTTGATCATTTTATAAGGTTCATCTCATCACTTATCACTTATTTAAGAACAATATTATTATTATTATCAATCAATATTGAATGTAGCAATTTTATCATAATAATATCAGTTATGATAAAGCATATAACTATTGATCCTAATTAAATTACTACCATTTCAAGATAGTCTGGTCTGAAACAAATTTGGTTGGTTGCGGTTATGCAAAATGTCATGATATTTGGAGTGTGCAAAATCGTGGTTTTCGACATATTTTTGTATGTCATTACAATCCACAAGGAAATACCGTTTATATCACCAAAGATGGTTTCTTCGCAGCAAGTTTTTAATTTTTTTTCTTTTTTTTTTTTTATAAAAATATTTTGTTTTCTTAAAGATTTTATTATTACATGCCATTAAGATGGATTAGAAAGTTGTTGGAATATAGCAAAATATTGGTTGAAATATTTCAAATTATTAAAAAGTTTTTTTTTTTTTGCAAGAATAATAAGTGTTATGATAACATTTTGATAAATCTTAGATGCCAGCATTTACATGGGCTGGTGATAAGCCCCGTTGTAGTGAATGCCCGTCAGATGCATCCGCTTGCTCTCAGGGTCTCTGCTTTGCGCCATCATTATCAATGGAAGCAACTGATTCTGCTTTGGCTGATAATAAACTTGGGCAGAATTAATTCAAGCCAATGATAAATGGGTATCATTGCTGATAAATCTTTTGCATTTCCCTTTGTTTTTTAAAGATTTTATCAAAAAAACAGCAGAAAATACTGTAAGATGGATGGTACCAATATGTAATACAGTCAGTATCATTTCATTTATCACAAAATGAAAATGTGCTGAACAAAGAAACAGTCATTATTTGTGACAGTTTAGTTTAGTAGTTGGACACTTTATGAGATGCACAAAAAGTTTGATGCAGCAATAATTAATATATCCTATGATAATGCATAGATATGTAATTAATTAAAAATAGATTGACTAACACTATTATTACTAATTGCAAATAAATCAAAAGTGTCATTTGTTTATCAATTGTGTTATCATAATTGGTTGAAAGTGAATTTGAAGTTTCATTTACTTATTAGCATTTGTTACTAATTAGAATTAACCTGAAAATATTTAATATGCTACAAATTAATAACCGATATTTTAAAACTTCTTTACTTTATATCAAAGATGAAATGTTCATATTTTTGGATTTATTAAAACCAGACCAAATAAAAGATATTAAATTAAACTTTATTTTCTATTAAACAACCAAAATTGGATGTTAGCTTTAAAAACAATCTTTGCAGTTTTTCAGCAAATTGAATAAAATTCATATCAATTTTTTCCTTGATAAAAATGAATTAGTCCATTTGTCCTAAAGCTTCTAATTCAGTCTATCAAATTTAATAATTTACAAATGTGACTAACTAACATTTGTTTCATTTAAATAATACGGGTGCAAATTTTAATAATGTATAATGATATTTGTTATTGTTGTTTTTGTTATCGCTGTTTTATATTACTGATTATATTAGTTGTTGCCATTAAAGTAATTGTTTGAGCAATAATAAAATTGTATAAATTATTGCAAGGAACCACTTAACAATGGAAAGGATTTGATAATGAATAAATTTATCATATAAAAGTGATTTTTTTGGATCAAATTATAGCATTTTTATTAAACAACTGAAATTATCAGTGAATTTTAAACTGCTGCAATTCCTTCACAAAATTATTAAGTCATTACATACTGGAACCGAACCGGAACAGGTCATTGAGAATGAAATTATATAAACTGTCAAAGTTTTTTAGTAGGCTGGATCAGAACCGTAGCATTTAAAGTGTGCTAAGTGATGAATTAAGTTCCTCTCAAGCTAAACGGTAACTATTAGCTTGATCAATTTATTAAGTTGAACTGAATTAATTTTAATTAATCATAGAAGTATTGACAATAATAATAAAATGTAATAATAATAATTTTTATATAATATATAATAATAATTTAATAATAAAATTTTTCTGAAAAAATTTTTGTTAGAAGCTATGCTTAACTAACTTTTATATTCAGGTACTGAAGTACTTATTCATATTGCATCTCTAATGATATTCGGTATAAACTTGCATAGTAGAAGTATTTTGCTCAGTTTATATCTATTGAAATAAAAAATTTCTAGCATATCGTGCAATTATATCTCATTCAGTGATAAATATAAGATTAAGTAACAGTCATCCCAAAGAATGCTTTTCATTTATTAATTAAACCACAAAATAATTAATAGTTGAATTCTTGACTAAATAGCAGTGGAGTTATTCCTTTACTTCATTTAATTTACTTCATTTAATAATTTATTTCTTTTCTTCATTCAAATAATTTTTCCCAGTCTTATATTAAATTTAATTTAAATTTATTGACATAATTTATCTGATATGCATTTTTTGCATTTTAAATATTCGTTGTGAATTATTTTTCACCCAAATACAATAACATTTACTATTATATTTCATTAATGAGACAATATTTATAAATGAAATTACACAATCAAACCTTTCATTTTTAAAAATTTCGTCATCCCAATAAACTTTTCAAATTTTGTATTACAACAGTGACATTATCCATAACACCTTGTTTGATTAACTTTCCTTTATTAAAAGTAACAAATTAAGGCTGCAGATGAATTTTGAAATAAAATATTTAAACCAAATGATATCATATATAGGATGCTTATTTGATTTGTTTTATTTTTTTGAGAATATATTTGTTCGATTGTTAATAATTGGATCATTCTATTCGTCGAAGTTTAATGCAAATGATTTGCACTTGCACTTGCATTTGCATTTGTATTTGCTGTTATTTTATCTAGTATGCTGCATTTATAAATTGTTTTAAGTTGAAGCAAACATATATGCTCACAAACATATTAAATTAAGCAAAACTAGTTAAATCATTTTTTTTAACTAAATTATCAAGTTTTTCACACTTTTTAGTCTTCATTTTCCTTTTCTTTTACCTATTCTCATCTAGCAAAAGAAAATAAGGGAAATAAATGAGAACAGAAATTCATCTTATCCATACTTCTTGCAAGAGGTATAAATAAGATCAACCTTATAAACCTGTGCACGAGAGTTTTAAAAATATTTCGGAAGAAAATTTTGCTCTGCAACATTTGTTCACAATTAAATGAGTGGACTTCATACATAGCAATTTTTTTCCTTTTTGTCAATCAGATTAATCTATCACTTCAAATAGCAAAGAAGTAAAGCAATCAATATTTATTGTCTCTTAATTATCATTTAAACAGATAAGATGTTTAAAAAAAAATACTATTTATATCACCATTTTCGTATCAGTAAAGAAATATAATTTCATCATTATAAAAAATGGAGAGAAATAGCAGTTCGAAATGAGTAAATAATCCGAAATTAAAAAGAAAAAGTGAAAAAGGTTCAAAACAATAGTGATGTTATGAATCCGTTAAATTTATAATTAAATCTTCCATGCAAAATATATTTGAAAAAAATTGAAATTTGAAAAAATTTTCAATTTTTTTCTGCTATAAATTTTTTTTTTAAAAAATTTCTTGTCATGAAAAATTTATATAATGCATCATTTTTTATAAAATGGGCCTAGATTTGCAACACTCCTTTTTCCAACAAACGTAAAAAAAACCAAAATTCCTAATTACAAGGAGGGAAAATAAAAAAAGAAATAAAAAACCGGAATAATGCATTCAGGCATTTTAAATTAAGAAAATACTGGCAAGGAAAAACATGAAGAAAAAAGTAAGAAAGATATTTTTGCTACAATGATGTTACGCCGTTTCCTTTTTTGTCCATTTTTCATTCGTAAATTTACAATTACAATAACTCCTAATTATTACACATAGTCGAAGTAATCCTGAAAATGTTTTTTTTTTCCGGAATCAATGAGAAACATCATAAAACCAATTGTATCAAATACTTGCGAGATTATCATCGACCACCTCCAATTTTAAAACTAATTGAATAACCACTGAGCTGCAATCTTAACTCTACTTAAACGTCTTTAGCGCTGCAACAGACGAGAGAATTCTGAGAACCGATGCATTCATTCGTGTTAGGATCCCATGTCCTTATCACAACTTGTCTTTGGCTATAGCACACACACACACACACACACACACAAAGTGCGCTGCGGTCCTCTCTCGGTCTCTGTCACTCTCCCACCCCTCCACTCTTCCATAAGTGTGTGTGTATCCTTGTTCGTATATCTGTCTGTCTATCCACCCGTCCATCTGTCTATCTGTCTGGTGACAATGTTAGCGTATCAAAATGGATGGATGGAATACAATTTGCGCCGTTCGGAGCAACACAAAGGTTCAAAGGCAAATAAGTATACGAAATTTGTATGTATGTGAATTTGTCTAAGTTTTTTCACTTTTATTTCTTCTCTTTCTTTCCCTCTTTCTTTCTCCTCCTCTTCTTATTCTACTACATTTCTTTTTCGTTAAGTTACTTTTTCTTTCTGCAATAGTTACTGTCCATAATTCTTCACTACTTCTTTGCTCGTCTCTTTTTATTTCTTCTTCTTAATATCACTTTTCTCCCTTTCTTTTGTTGTACTAACTTTCCTGCTATTTTTTCTGTCTAACGCACCTCTCTATTGTTCACACTTCCTTCCTTTGTATCTCTCCCGTTCTCTTCTATTCGCTCCATTCATTTCAATCACATAGTTCAATCGAAAGTTTCAAACCGTGGATGGAAGAGAAATTCGCGTCGCGTGCAATCCTCTCTGCTTCTCTTCCCTATCTATCTCTCTCTTCTTCTTTTAGTGCTGTAAGTGCTAATGTACTTGCATTCTTTCCTTTGGAAAAGCTCTTTCTCTACTTCTCTCCTTTTATTCACTTTTGCTAACCCTACTATTTTTCGCTTATTTGTCTTCCTTTCTTTTCTTCTTCATTTTTCTTTTTCGTATGCAGCATGCGTCTTTCGTCTTCTTTCTCTTTTTCATTTTCAAATCTTCTGACTCTCCCACTTCTACACTATCTTTCTAGTATTATTGCGTACTTCCTAAAGTACCTTCATCTTTCTCTCCTTCTGATGTCTCGTTCGTCCCTTCATCTGTTGCAGAATAATATGCCTCCAATAAAATGCATGGCATTGTTATATGTCTGTACATGCATACATACATACGTGCACATACATACATGCATGCATGCAGGTGTGTGTGTGTGTATGCGTGCGTGTGTACATGTATGTGTATGTATGTGTGTGTGTGTGTGTGTGTGTATGTGTATGTGCGTGTGGACAGCTGACCAATGTTGTTTTATGCGGCATTCGCCTTTTTTCCAAATCAACTCCGTGATGCGCGTGCGTTTTTTTCCAGTCTTTTGTAGTCACATGCTGCGCGATAGAATCGCAAATGCAAATGCAAAATATGCATGCATTGTAACTTATCAATTTTTCTTTTTTCGTCTTGTGGTGTGACAAGTTGCACTTGCTTGCAGCGCAGTTTATTGCATTAATGCACGTTCCAGTATTCGGCTACTTATGGCTTCATAGTGGGAATACTAGACTACTAGGGATACTAGATATGCAGCCACTTCTTTTATGACTTATCACTTACACGCTTTAATCAGCTAATAAATAGTTGCTTGCAGCGTGATGCGCAGTCTTTCGGTGAACTTTTTTTTTTTTTAAATTAGTTACATAGTTGTCAAGTTTTTCCGGTTAGACAGTATACGTATACTTGTCCTACGATTAAATGTATCATATCGATTATTAGCGCTGGTGGAAACTGGTAGCATGCTGAGCTTACTTATAATGCTGAAATCAAATTTTACATGTAGAAAAGATTCGATTATTTATAGGAAGGTCATTTGCTTGCCAGCCAAATAAACTTAAAAAGTAGTTGTGTTTGTGGTGGAAATAAAATCCTAATATGACAGAAGTAAAAGATGCTTATCAATCTTTATGAGTGGTTGCTGAATATTGTATACTCCTGTACTATTGATAATATTTAATTGTATAAGAATGATTAAAATTATAAAGTTGGAACGTTGTTATACGTAATTATTATAATCAGAACAATAGTGTCTTTAGAGGAGAACGACTAATGCGATACCGTATTTGTTAGGAAAGTTTGGGCATGCTTGTGACGTAGTTAGTGAGAAAAATGATGTTCGGGAGAATGGATGGACAATCTCAAAATGCGACGAAAAATTATCCGGATAATTTCCGGATGGCGCATGAATAATTCAGAAAAAAGTCTGAAAGGATTATAGAAAGAATTTGTGTGATTAATTATGGAAAAGAATGAGTGAGAACAGTCGAAAATTTTTTAAATTATGCCGATTTACTTAGGAAATGTTTGGTGAATCTTGTTAGTGAAAGGCAATTGCTACAAGCTAGTGATTTGAAAAGCTTTGTTACTTTAAAGCTTCGTTGTTTGATAAACGTTCAAATATTTGCAGTACATAACGGGATTAATATATGTACAGTTTGTTTCTTGTTTTTTAGATTGTACTAGTATTGGAAAGACGCAGATCTTTATCAGCTCTATAATTGACTTAGCTAATTCAATCACATCTGTGGACACATCATTATCATATTTGTCAAGTTTGGATGAAGAAACGATTAAAAGATAATATTGTTGAGCAGTCCCATCCGCAGTTTTATCTTTATTAACCTTGTCTATTCATTGCTACTCAGCATTTACGCGTAAAATTGCAACGAGAAATTCGCTGCTAAACGAAGCGTTACCTTGCTGGCGATAACTGTATAAGCTTGTTAGCCCATTGAGGCTTAGCCTCAGATGAATTATCATCTTCTTTCTTGAATTCGACTCAGTTTATTGTATCATCCAGTCAATTGAAGCTGGTAAAAATGACTGATGTTCTCGATGAACCATCGTCAAAGAAACCGAAACTGTCATCACCATCAGGTAGCTATTATTGACCTGTCGAGTTTTTGTTCATTTCACTAGCAGCTGGAGTATATTTTTAATCTTCAAATCCCAATCAAAAAATGCCTTCGTAGTTCACTTTGGTGAGGTAGTTTGTTAGATTTGGTCGAGCTGTAGTAATTGTTGAACATTGAGGTTTATGATTTATACTTTTCCAGAAGGTAGATCAATATTTTTGGAAACCAGTTTTCAGTAATCATTTCGAATTTTTGTGAAATTGCATTTCTTAAAGTTGTCAATTCCTAACGACTTCTTTTGCTAAAACAAAAGTACTTCCTAAAGTAAGAACAGCAAATTGAATACTCTTTTCACTCCTTTTTTATCTAGAAATCTTAGAGGAATGTTTCTATTCAGCTGATGTTGTGCCAGTGAGTTTTAAATTTATTGAAACTTTTCACTATTACAAAAACTTTCAGTGTATTACTAGAGTGCCAGCTATCATATTGCTGAATCTTGTTAGCGTCAGTTATCTTGTTGTCAAATTTGTTTTTGTTGTTAGCTATTATTGAATTCTGTAAATTATTTCAAATTGAATTTACAGACTTTGATGATGATCCGTTGAGTGAATTGGAGAAATTGGAGCCGTTGCCGTCCATCCTGGAGACGATGTCTCAAGCACCATCAAGTGTTCATATGTCGGTATGGCATTTTTGCATATTCTTCTGTAATTCGCTTTGTCAGTTTAAAATTTTAAAGGTTTTTGGGGATAAAATTCATATGTAGTCTGTCACATCAAGCTGCCTTAGTTGGATCCTTCTTCGGAGGTGTCTCAAATGTCCAAAATTACAAGGTTGATTTTTGTGATTTCATCAGCGGAAATATATAGATTAAATGCTCAGGTATAATTTCACATTGATTATTTCCAACTCTCCTGTTGGTTAGATTAGAATTAAAATGATCAGTTGCAAAAATAGTCCATTATATGAAATTAGAGGATGTGAGGAGAGTGCTTATTTTTCTGATTATTCAGCAGTTTATAATTTGAATTTCAAAAAAATTTTTCTAGATGAAGTCTTTTGATTGTTATACTTTTTAATGTAATAAATTGTTAGTGAGAACAAGATCACATAGTTTCAGTGAGTAGTGAATTCTTCATCTTCTGACAAACAGAACTTCGAAACTTGCTACCTTAAAATCCTTCTCTCTTGTTATAAAATAATTTCGCGTTTCATTCATTTCTTGACAACTTATTGATATACAGTGTATTGGTTTTCCTTTTCCTTACTTGGTATTAAATGTGGTAGAAATTTACTAAGTTGTTGCTAGCAGCATTAATTTGCTGTTGTCGCTTCCATATTCCATTTATTCCTTTGTTAAACTGACTTATTTTCATACAGTTGTTGAAGTTGTTTTCAGGCGAATAATGGACCCGGACCATCATCAGTTGGTTCCACTGGCGCTACAAGTCAACCACCCTCAGTTAGCCACGGAAATTACATGGGACCAGCGTCAGTGATACAGTCTCAAGCCGGTGCACCAGCGCAAACACACAATGCGCAATCACAACAAAATGCTCCATCACAACCCAGTGTTTTGCAAGAATTGTTATTAAATCCTTCCAGCCAAAATAATCAAACTTTAAATAGCCCACGACCACCATATACCACTCAGTATCAGACAAGGTTGGTTATTAAAGTTCCTACTTGAAATTGCGATAAATGTTTCCACATATAAATTGCAGTTGTTCAATTTTCTGTGTAGTAGTTCATTTATAACTTTTCTGGTAAAATTACTTTATATTAGATTTTATGTGTAAAATATTTTAGGAGTCCAGTAACAAGTGGTGCCACGATGATGGCATCAGCAAATTGTCCTCCAAATGTAGCTCTTTCTGCCGGACCACGAGGTTTACGAGCCACCGGACCTCAAATGTACGGGCCTGCAGGTCACACCGATATGACTATGCAACCGGTATAAATCAGCAGATTTGTAATTACATAAACAAGAACTTTGTTACATCCTAATTACTGGTAAAATGGGGTCTATTTTCTATAAAAACTATTAATAAGGTTTGGTGATTTATTGGATACCAAGTAAGCATATTATGATTTTAGGAGAAAGTCGATTACCCTGTTTGAAATTACAAAAATTAATGTTCCTACTTTATCCGTTTTACGAAAGTTAGATTCGTTTAGGGTGCTGGTCCTCAACTAGGTCATCCAGCTCAACAAGGCAACTACGTTGCCTCACAAATGATGCCACCGCCTAATCAACAATCTCCACAGTCTCTTTCATATGCTTATCAGCAATCCGGTTCGTTTACTTTATAATTTATATTTCCACATTAATAGAATATTCAAGCCATACAGAAAAGATTTCTCTCCCAAGACTTTGAAGAAACTTCTAATTATTAAAATTTCTAGAATATTTGAAAAACTTGCAGGTTCTCGACCAGTATATGCAAATACAGGTTCTCGGGCGGTTTATGCGGCCGCTACACGCAGCGCAACACCACAGCCTATGAGTTTGGCACGAGGCAGTGCACCCGTAATGCTTAATGGAGCTTCGGCTCCCCGAATGAGAGCTGCTACTCATCAAGGTTATCACTTTGTCAAAACTTTAGAAGTATTTGAAGAAAGCATTGGGAAAAAAAAATGAAATTTTTTTCTCTCATTAAATATAAACCAGTTATCAAACAAATCTATGTGATGTCGAAATCTGATTTCCAGGTATGATAACAATGCAACAGGGAGGTGGACAAATGATGCGAACGGTCATGGTCCAGCAGGGGCCACCATATGATCAAGGTGGTTATACTATGCCACCTCAACGCGCGTCTGATCCGTACGGTATTTCGCAAACGCAAACCGGAGTTAGTAACTTATATGATTTAACGCAAACCGGAGTTAGTAACTTATATGATTTTCGATCTACAAAGTAATCGGTGGACAAGATGAAATTCTTTAGCAGCAAAGGAAGAATTGTTCTGATTTATTCTTTTCATTTTTTCCTTGCATTTTTTTCTTCCATTAACGCTTTTGCTTGTTTATTCACTTAATCAGTTTAAGGCATCACCAAATTATGCACAATTGCCACAAGGCCATATGGTAGCAAGAAATCAACCAATGCCTTATACTAATGCACCAACTGCATCACCAGCGATTCAACAAAGTAGTGCGGTAAGTTTAGAGGATAAATTTTACTAATTATATAGAAATGTCTAATTTTGCTCGAAATTTGAGTTTGATTTAAATTATTCTTGACAAAACCTAAGTTATTAAAATTAGTTATACTTTTAATTGATTTAAAGGTGCTAGATGGATCTTATTAATTCAAAAAGTGTTTTGTTCTCAGATGATACCACATATGATGGAACATTCGACAATATCGTCACAACAGCAACCAAATCAGCAGCCACCACCACCACCATCATCATCATCATTAACCCACGGAAATGTAATGCCACCACAGATGAATGCACAATCAGCAGCGGTAGCAGGAGCTCCTGGTCCAATGGCTGGTCCGAAATCTGGAATACCGCCGAATTTGCCGCCACCTCAGATGCCACCAGCAAATGCTTCAGCTTCTAGCCAAATACAGCAAGTAATGCTTACTTATTTTTGTGCAAAATCCAATAATAAGGAAATTTCTTTTTACGAACTTAAAAATTTAATAGAAGCTAGAAAAAATTTACATGTCAGTAAAAAAATATCGCACCTGACAGCATTCTCCAGAACCATCAATTATTAAAACAAGATTTAAGCAAATATCCTTTTTCCTCAGCCAGCTGTGGTCGTTTGTTGCTAGATTCATCATTTCGATTTTGTTAACCCTAATATTTTAAAAATAAAACAATAATTTGTCATTTTTATTTTTTCCAATCCTTGAATTGATGACAGAACAACGAAGGGAAAAAAATTAGACAAAAAAGTTTCAGTTTACTGGCATGAATAACAATGCACCAAGAGAAGGCGCATCAATGAGCAGTACACTTCCAACTAGTGGTACGCAAGGGAATAATCAAGATCCTGGACGAAGAAAGCTTATTCAGTTACAGTTGGTACTACTTTTACATGCCCACAAATGCCAACAACGAGAGCGATCTGCGGTGCGTGTTTTCTTCTTATTTTACATTTTGACATAATGGGAATGTTTTTTATTGATTTTTCCGTTTTTTTTTTTTTTTTTTTTTTTAAATTCGAAATACTTGATTTTATTAGTTTGGACTAGTGAATAGTGGGTTAATAGATTAAAAAGTGGGAAAAGTACAAGTTTTTTTTCTTTTTTTTGGAATATTGACGTTATGAATCACACTGAATCATCATGGTTTTTGAATTATTACGAAAAATTACTTATTTCAGGATGGCGCAAATGGACGATACACTTGCACTTTGCAACATTGTTCAACGATGAAAGGTGTATTGCAACATATGACAACGTGCAATAGTGGAAGCGCTTGTAGTTGTATGTTTTTTATTTTTTTCGATTTTGTAATTGTTTGAATATAGGATTGAATCAAAATATACCTTCACAAACACATGCAACTTTCGTGATTTATTAATCACTTTTAGTTAAAGCATTTGATGTATGAAGTTATTGGCTTTATGAATAACTACTTAAATGTTAAAGTGAAGTAAAAGCTCCGCAGACATCCCAGCAGAGTGAAATAAACAGTGAGTTGGTATCGTCAGTTGAATGAGCAACCATATCATCGCGTAATATGCAGATGTGTTACTAGGGAAATAATGCGCTGTATCTTATGTCAGAGTAGTTCATTTAAATTAGAATGGAAAAAATTAATTGCAAAATAAAGAGTGGTAATGTGTCATGTATGAAACAATTTTTTTATGCATTTATGGTATTCGAAATAATTACAGATCCTCACTGTCCATCATCACGACAAATTATTTCTCATTGGAAGAACTGTGTGCGTGATGACTGTCCAGTTTGTACACCCTTGAAGAGTAGGCAAAATGTAGCGCAAGCAGTGGACCGACGTACTGTTCCCGGTAAATCCTGAACTTCATTTATCAGATAATTTCATTGCACTATGACTGATTTTTTATATCGGCTTTTCTGTTGAGGAATATTTTTACACATGTTGAGGATTCGATTTGCAAAAATTTATGAAAGGCTCTTTAGGTACCGAACCGTTTGGAACTACTGGAGCAGGATCTGCGCAACAGGTGCCATGTGGTCCAGGCAATGCCGCAGATATTGATAATGTTGGAATGCCAAATCGAATCAGTGCACAGCAGCAGCAGCAACAACAACAACAACAACAACAGCAACAGCAACAACAGCAGCAGCAACAACAACAGCAGCAGCAACAACAACAACAGTCTGGTCCTGGCGCAGCTTTGCTACCAAATACAAATTCACATAATATGCCGGCTTATGATTCTTCTGGATCCACATCAATCAACGCTTTTTTAATAGATTTCAACCCCACAAGGTGAATTTTTCGGGAGTGTTTCTATATTTAAAAATTCTTATTGATGTATTGTTTATGTTGTTTAATTAATTAAATTTTAAAACATTTACACACAAAAATTTTTTATGAAACTTCAGCGATCCGTTTCGATCACCGAATCCACCAAACAAATTGGTGCCATCATTAGGGAAAGGTTCCGGTATTTTCATTACTTCCAAGGACATCATTGGCTTACCACCTCCGGATGCACCGGTAGTTAAGAAACCGTGGCAGAATGCAGTGACTGAAGATCTGCGTAATCACTTGGTTAGGAAACTTGTGGAAGCAATATTTCCGTCACCTGATCCTGCGTCCATTCACGATCAACGCATTAAAGATCTGGTGAATTATGCGCGAAAAGTTGAAAGGGAAATGTTCGAATTGGCCAATGATCGCGTGAGTACAAAAAAATTATTAAATAGCAAAAATGATATAAAATACTTTGCACCTGTAATCAAACTTTATCAATAAACTATAAGAGAGTTTATTTGCATCTATTTAGGCTGTGCATGAGTTTTCTTTCTGAACAGAAAGTTTCTTCTTTCAGGGAGAATACTATCATTTGCTTGCGGAGAAAATTTATAAGATTCAAAAGGAATTACAAGAGAAGAAAATTAAGAGATTACATGAACAAGGACAAGTGGGTGCCGTGGCTGGCATGCAACCACCCCAGCCAGGTGGTTCGTCCTTAACATTACGTAGTATAAATTAAAAGGATGAAGCAGAGCGAGCTGAAATTTTTAGTTAGACAATTTAGTATCTCGAAAGAAATTAATATTGTTCGACACTAAGTTTTTCAGTAAATTGTCAGACATATTAGCTGATTGAAATCAACAATAGTTTCTTAGTGCAACAAGTTACATTCTATTAAATCCTTATTTGGTTTTCTTTTTCAGTTGACTTTGATATGCCTGGACCACCGAACCGAACTACGCCGTCATTCCAACCAAGCACCAGTACCGGCACACCACAAATGAATGGGCTGTCTACCTCTATAAGTAAGAGTTTCTTTCTTACGGCATTACAAATCGCAGGCTTAATATTTCGCCATAGTCTATGAGATTCATCATAAAAATTCAGAATTTACAGCATTTTGAAGAATTTGAAAAAATTTGTTCTAGTCAGTTTTCTTGAAATAAAGTTCTTGTCATACAGGTGGGAATGCAATGACGAATGGTCAGGTAATAACTTCAGGGATAAAAATGGAAGTGCCTGGTGATGTGGCAATTGGTACCGAGTCATCAGCAGATGCCTCTGGATGCTGTTGTAGGTTTTCGGAGTGATTAATTTCATTGCATTTCCCTTGGTGAGGAGAACCTTAAAGAAGGGTAGCCAGCATCCTTATAAGTGGTTTAAAAATGAATTTATATGTGATGATCTGAAATACAAGAAAAATTGCAGGTTAAAATATCAATTTTCATAATAAATTTAAGAAAGACTTTGACTGATTTACTGCTATAAATAATAGTTTTTCTTTTAGCAAAACCTGGAACATCGAATACAGCAAGTGCAGAAAAAGCGAAAGTTTCTGTGAATGCAGTTAAAACGGAAATAAAAGTTGGCAAAGCTGATGGTAAAGGAGAAATAAAAGTTGAAGAAAAAAAAGAATTACCGGATAAGGTGTGTACTATAAAAAAGTAGTTGCAACATCTCATAAGAAATGGGAAGAATATCCGAGTATCCAAAAGCATTTTTCATAAATTCCATTAATTTAAATAACTTCAGGTATTTGATGCCAATGAATTACGAAATAATTTGAAACCGGTTGTGGATAAGCTTCTTAGTATGGAAGAATCAATACCGTTCAGAATTCCTGTCGATCCAGATATTCTCGGCATACCGGTAATCAATCTTCTCATTTTTATTGAATTTTTAGTAATGAATGTTTTCAAAAACGTAAGGCTGGTTATTGATTTAAAATTGCAGGATTACTTTGATATTGTCAAGAAACCTATGGATCTATCAACAGTAAGCCGAAAACTGGATACAGGTGAATATAAGAACCCGTGGGATTTCAATGATGATATGTGGTTAATGTTCGATAATGCTTGGCTCTATAATCGGAAGAATTCAAAAGTTTACAAATACTGCAATAAGGTTGGCTTTATGTACTTTTCTTTTTTTATGAAGCTCTAAAGCGGTGAGTTTTTAAGAGGTGATTGAGAAGAAAGAGCAAGTATATAATGCTGAAGATTATCATATTAATTATGCAACAAAAATTAATCAATAGTTGGGTAGAATTCGCTGAGCCAGCAATTAAATGAAAGTTTTTCAAGTTATATAAATGATCATTTGCGATGTAAATGCTTTAGTTTTGAAATTTATACTTGCAAAAAGATCTGAATAAAAAACAGAAGCCATTTGCAGTTGAGTGAAGTGTTTGTGGAGGAAATCAATCCCGTAATGCAAAAAATGGGTTATTGTTGTGGCCAAAAATTGTCGTTTACACCACTGGCATTGTTTTGTTATGGCCAGTCGATGTGTACAATTGCACGTGATCAAACATATCATGTTTATGAGACAACGTAATTTACCTTCTAACTTTTAAAATTCACCATACTGTCTTATGTTTATTTTTTCATTTCAAGTATTCGCCGACACGAAAATTTTAATTGTATAAGCAGATTTCTGCTTATACAAGTATTTTTCTTTTGCTACCAAAATTAGAAAATAAATGCAATAAAAATTTTTGCAATAAAATTAGTTAAGAAAAAAAAAAAAAAAAGAAAACGAACCGTAATAGAGAAATGTTTTGATACAAATAATTGTATGAAACATTTGTTGCATGTTTCAGATCAACTCAATATGGTGTAACAGTTTCGGAGCGTTACACTTATTGTACGAAATGTTTTGAAGCTCTGCCAGAAAGCGGCATAAGTTTGAGTGAAAATCCAAATGATACAACTAAGTAAGTTTGATTATTATACGGATTCAGTTTCTTTCATGCATGCTATGTGAATCAAAATTTGCTTCACATAAATCATTTCGGAAAATATCGGAAGGTTTGTCAGGAATAAACAAATTTTTCTTGCAGTATGGTGCCAAAATCCAAATTCGTACAAATGAAGAACGATCAAATTGATTTCGAGCCATTTGAAAAATGTATAAAATGTTTCCGAAAATGGCATCGAGTATGCGCGCTTTTCAACAAGAAAGTAAGTCATCGCTTGACTGTGCTGTTATCCTAGTTAGTCTTACAGTGTCAAAAGGAAGCTCTTCTAAAAATTCAAAGCAATTTTCAACAAATTTTATTGGTCACTGCCTGCTTAGCCTTGTTTCCAGCTGCACATGTTTTCATACTGAAAACTTTTGGTTGTATTTGGGCATGGTTATGGAATTTCTTCGAATTTAGATAAATAAAGACTGAACTATAAAAATGAAGTAACAGTTAGACGTATTGTTCAGCATAATTGTTTATATTTCTTATTACTTCTCATTACTGAATAACACCTATAAATGTGAGGAATTCATTATTCAGTATTTTGATTTCCCTTGTCCATTTTTCATTTATATTTCCTTCCAGGTTTTCCCGGAGGGATTCATTTGCGCTACATGTCGTCGCGAGAAAAATCTGGCACCAGCAGAAAATCGTTTTACAGCCAAGAAATTGCCGCATTGCCAATTGTCACGATTTATTGAAGAACGTGTCAATAAATTTATGAAGAATAATCCTGCTGGCAAGGATTACGAAGTTATCATTCGTGTACTTTGTGCAGCTGACAAAGAAGTGGAAGTAAAACCTTTGATGAAACAAAAGTAAGAAGGCATTTTTTGGCATCACAAAATTTTCCAACTATAGCTCTTAAGTGATATTGAAGGGTTATTCTACACTTTACCCAGAAATAACACTTAGGACACTAATTTTAGGAGAATGTATTTGTTTTCCAAAACGAGACCAAAAATTTTTTTACAGATATGGACCTCTTGGTTTTCCGGAAAAATTCCCTTATCGAACAAAAGCAATTTTTGCTTTCGAAGTTATTGATGGTGTGGAAGTTTGTTTTTTCGGTTTGCATGTGCAGGAATATGGAAGCAACTGCCCACCACCAAATAAAAGGTATTAAATTTTGGGATAAGTAGATTTCAAAATATTTCAACTATGCCTGACGGCTCACATTGTTGTTGCATCACTTTTCAGACGAGTATATATTGCCTACTTGGATTCGGTGCATTTCTTTCAACCTCGGCAGTTACGTACGGAAGTATACCACGAAATCTTGCTGGGTTATCTAAATTATGCAATGATGTTGGGTTATACAATGGCTCACATTTGGGCATGTCCACCATCCGAGGGTGACGACTACATTTTTCACTGTCATCCACCAGAACAACGAATACCGAAGCCTAAACGCCTTCAAGACTGGTATAAAAAAATGCTTGATAAAGGTGTTGGCGAACATACGGTTTTTGATTACAAAGATATTTACAAACAGGTGAGTACCTGAGCTTAATTTACATATTTTTAGTTGATTTTAGTGCTGACGGCAAATTTTATATTTTTGTGGGAGTTTTAATTTAATTTGGAAATTTAAAAGGCTTGAGTTTTGAGCTATTCGTATCTGAAACTCCGAATTTTTACTTTAATAGGCCCGAGATGAGAATTTGGTAACTCCAATGGAATTGTCCTACTTCGAAGGGGATTTTTGGCCAAATGTAATCGAGGATTGCATTCGTGAAGCACAAAATGAAGAACAAGAACGCAAGCGCCAGGAAGAAGCAGCACGCCAGGAGCAACAAAATGCTGAGGATGAAGATGGTGATGATATTTTCCATGATGGCGATAACGGGAAAAGTAAAAAGAACAGGTAATTTTAGTTCAGTTATTTGCATTGATGAGAGAAATTTTGTCGATAAAAGAACCTCTAAATAATTCTTGCTAATCTTTTTATTAATAAATGAGCTGGAAGTAACAGATGGAGCCATAACTTATGAACTGAACTAAGATGCAGCAGTATGAGAGAAACTTTTTTTAATAAATAATTCTTTCAATAAAAAATCTGGAATGTACTTGTTTCAAAACTTTGATTAAGAATTTCTTTATTTTAGCAAAAAGAAGAATAATTTGAAAAAGGGTAACTCAAAGAATAAGAAAAAGGTTTGTTCACAAACGGGCAATGAAGTCACGGATAAGCTGTACATAAACTTCGAGAAACATAAAGAAGTATTTTTTACTATTCGATTAATGAGCCCACAGTCGGAATTATCAGCACAGAACAACGAAATTAAGGTATGTTGTGTCGACATTAGACTAGTTGGCTGGAATTATTAGGTCAGTAGTCAGTAGTGAAGACATGAAATAGAACAAGTTTCTGTTGATGATTTAATTTGCTAAAAGAATTTTATGGATGATATCATTAATATAGCAATGGGAGTAGAAGAAAAAGTGAAGAAAACTGTTGCTGAACTCAATTTCTTTTCACATCACAGTTCTCTACCTGTAATTGAATCACGAATTAATCTGCTGTAAACTTCATGAATTAAAAATCATTTATATATATTTGTAGTTTATTATTAAACATTTTATATGGTGCTGGGTCAGCTTTTATTCATTTTTCAATAAGTTCCGATATTTTAATAAATCTGGACTTTTTTTAGGACCCCGATCCATTAATAGCAAGCGATCTTATGGATGGGCGTGATACATTCTTAACACGTGCTCGTGATGAACACTGGGAGTTTTCCTCGTTACGACGCGCCAAATATTCCACAATATGCTTTTGTCACGCATTACACAATCAAGAGAAAAGTGAAGGACTTTCGTACACGTGCAATAGTTGCCAAGGAACAGCTATTTGGCATTGTACAACTTGTGAAGTAAGTTTTCAGAGCTTCTACATCTTAGAGATAAAACCGAAACTGATGTTAAGTAATATCGAGAATTATGTTTCATTGATGTTACTTCTCCATTTTATCGTTTTATACCTCTTTATTCCAGGATTTCGATCTTTGCAATAAATGTTATGAAACAATGTCGCATCCACACAAATTAGAGAAAGTCAGTACACTGGTAGAAGTAGAGGATAAGCATGATGCAACCAATTCACGAACTGAAAGCATTCAAGTAATATAATTTGCTGATTTCTATGCAAAAGTATAGTTTTTCCAGAAGTCTTTTTTTCGAATATAGAAATCCAAGTTTAAACTGTTTCAAACATTTGAGTTTCACAAAATCTTGGATTTATTATTACTATGAATTTCTATTGCAGCGTTGTATTCAATCATTGGTACATGCGTGTCAATGTCGCGATGCAAACTGTCGACGTTCAACGTGTCACAAAATGAAGCGTGTAGTACAGCATACTAAAGGTTGCAAAAAGCGACAAAATGCAAATTGTGCTATTTGCAAACAGCTTATTGCTTTATGTTGTTATCACGCCAAACATTGCAATGGAACTTCATGTCAGGTAAATTCAACGCTTCATTTCAAACGTGTAACAGATGTCTATGTTTCTGGAGCTTTATGCAGTCCTGCCATTGCCGAACTAGGTTTTTAATTTGTAATTATATTTTTAGGTTCCATTCTGCTTGAATATTCGCCAGAAACTACAAGAACAACGAAGGTCACAGAATCGTCGTGCTGACATGATGATGCGTCGCCGCATGGATATGCTTTCTAGTGGTTATGGTGGAACGAGCACACCAGGTCCCTCGCAGTCTGGTGGTTAGTGTTGGAAATTGTTTATTTTCTGATTTTCTGAATGTAGGATCAGTCCTTTAACCTATTTTGGCCGCTCTTCAAATTCCTTTATTTTAAGCTTACGCGATCCATTTGTCAGTGTCATATAAAAGAAGTTTATAATACATTATATCCTTCACTGAATTTTTGGATTCATGTAATTCAGTAATTCATGTGGTTCATGTAGGTGGTTTAATGCAGATAATAGCATTGATATTTTCTCAAGGAGGTATCAAAGGCATCCTAATAGAGCAGAAAGCAAAGAACAAGGAGTAGATTGTATTTTTTTGGGAATCAGTGTGCATCTTTTAGGACCAACTAGTGCGATGAATATGTCTCAGACTGTGACAGCTCATCACAGTACTGGACCAATGCAAACTTATCAGGGTACAAGTATGACACATATGCAGCACATACAAATGGGACAACCGCAGGGAGTGATGTCACCTAACCAACAGCAGATGGCACAAATGCAGCAGTTACAGCCACATCAGTACCAGGCGCATGGAAAAGGTTAGGCGCTGATCGTAAGAAAGTTAGAATAAGAACTAATATTTGATTAAAGTTAGTCGCTTCCCTCTTTTATATATAAATGAACTTACAAGATGTCATTAAGACTGTTTGTTATATCTTATAGTTGGTTTAGTACAAATTAATTAGCATCATGCTTTCTCAAGACGATATCATAGGCAGTACAATAGATTTTTTTTTTTTTTGAAAAATTGACAAATTATGACTATTAAGAATTTAAAAAAAAAGACAAATTATAACTATTATAAGACCACTTTTTTACCATCTATCATAACAATATATTCAAGCCTTCTTATGTCTTAATGTTTCTCACAACATATTGAAGTGATAAATGACATAGTTGTGTAATAAATAACATATTTAGTCAACATGACAGTAATGAATTTAATAAAAATTCGGGCTAGGTGTATCAGTAAGTCGATGCAAGTGGTAACTCACACAACTAAGTTGTTATGTTATTCCACTGCAGTATTTCGAGATGTATGTTATTAATTATTACTGCCACCGCTATTGATATGTTGTATATTGTAGGTGGTGCTGGCAATTCACAAATACACATGATAGGCGTCCCTACCACAATGCAGCAAAGCCATACCATATCACAAGTTCAGCAGCAACAGGCTCCACATCAGCAAGGCGTACGCATGAACATGGTTGATTTTTTTTTCCAAATGTTTTAGAGATCGAAAATATATAGACAAGGAATATCAGCAAATAAGTTTCAGTTTGATTAAGCAGCTTAAGAAATATCAATTGATGTAAATTTTATACACAAATTTCTTTTTCTTAATGTTAGACATCACAATTGGGTGGCATGCAAAGACCAGGACTGGTTGGACAAATGCAACATGCTCAACAACCGATGAATCCTCCACCATATGGACGTGGTGCTGCACAGCAAAACACTTGTGGTATGTCCGGAACTGCAGGACCATCCTCTAGCTACGGAGGTAATGCTGGGCAACCAATGATGCTTGGACAGTCTATACCACAGAACTCACAGTCACAGCCAATAATGCAACAAGGGATACAAAATTTACGAGGTTTTGTTTTTTTGTAATCCTTCCATGTGCATCTTTCTTGAATTTTATGATATTTCCTTCGAAAAGGTTAGAATTCTTCGAATTTTTCTAGCTCGTAACAGATTGATTGTCATCGTAATATTTTCAGCGAAAGTTTATACTGGACAGCCGATTGATCGTACTGCGTTGCAACAAGATCCTCAGGTGCAAGCAATACTAACGAGGTTTAAAAATGCAGAACGAGCGGAAGATAAAGACAAAGTACTGAATGACTTGAAGAAAATGCCTCATCTTTTTGCCGCTTTTATCAAAATGACGAACAATGAAAGGAGTGCTGGAGACGTGAGTCTCAAAATTTCTAAATAGAATGGTCTTGAAGAATGTGATCAAGGAGAATTTCACTTTCTTTCATTTTTTTTGTGGTCAAAAAAAAAAAGAATGTGATCAAGGAGAATTTCACTTTCTTTCATTTTTTTTGTAGTCATAATTCAATTTTTAGATTCCACAAAGTTTAAATCAGCAACAGCTTAGTGCCATACAGCAGCAGCAACAGCAGCATCAGCAACAACAGGGAATGATAAGGCAGCCTCAAGTAATTTTTCGAATTTCACTCATGCCGATATGCTGTAGGAATTGCTTAAAGTATTGACTTTTCTGGCTTATTTACTGCATGGTCGGATGTAACTTTCTGATCTTTTTTAGAAGGGAATTACAGTAGTCTTATCTGTTGATTTGATACTACTTCTTAGCTACCGTCCCTTTATAATGTTTTAGATGGTAACTCAACAAAGTGGGCAATGGCAACAAGGGACAGTTTCACAGCAACAGTATTATCAACACCAGCAATCCCAAGTATCGCAAAGTGGCCAGCAACAACCTCGCGGCCCGGGTGGTCAGTACGCTTCGATGAGTTCACAGGGTCAAATGGCCGGTACTGCAATGACACAACCGCAATGGCAGCAGCAGTTTCAGCGGAATCCACAACCTGTGAGCCCAGCTATGCAGTCTCAGTTTAGTCAGGTGGTTAACTTGTACCATCATTTAGGATAGCTTCTGTAGGTTTTGGACACAAAATAAGGAAATAGAGTTCTCTTTTGATGGTTTGGAAAGAGTTACTGTATTTTCAGTATTTGACTGAAATCTGCTGATTTTTACGGTATTTTTAGATTTTTGTATATGCCTGCATACAATAATTTATTCGTAAGTATGCAGATTTGTGTAATTTGGCGGTGTTATTTCAGGTCCGTTCACCACCTGTTGGACGTTCACCATCCGTCAGCAACGTCACTCAGTCACCAATGATGCAACCTGGTGCAGCGCAGCCTGGTGTTCAACAAATGCAACAAGGGGCAGTTAATCAAGATCAGCAACCATACAGATAACACAGTGAGACTATCGTTATTCTTTTTTCTTGTTTTGTTATTCCGGAATCCCTCTGTGATTCGGGAAGTAGCAAGTAAAGAGAGATAATAGTTGTTCTTTTTGTATTTAGCTGGAATTTTCAAATTTCTGACATCTTGGAAATATAATTTTCTGGGCATGTTAAATTCAGCATGCGCAGTTGTTGACGGTGATGTACGTGTTTGTCTGTCCGGTTGCTATCTTGTTTGCCACTTTGTTTGTTATGTTTGTTTCTTTGACACATAGTGCTGCCAAAGCGGGTGATTCTTTTTGATGACGGCTCATTTTGTTATATAGCTCTCATAATTGTTGGTTGTTGTTTTATTTGTCTTACTGCTATGTATAATTATTTATTATGCCCATGCGGGCTGTATTCTTACATGTTCACGCAGTGAAAGGAATGTCAATCTAATGATCTGAGATTATATTTACTGTTACTGCAATTCTTGTTTTTGTTTATTTTTATTTTCTGTTCTATTTCAACAGTTTGGTGTCAAAAATCTTAGAATTTTAAAATTGAATGCAGTTTAAAATAAGACCATGAAAGTATTTTCTATCATCATTTCCTGTTTTTCTCTTTAGTTTTTTTTTCTTTTTTTTTTATCTAGGCTTCAAATTTTTTGTATAGTTGTGGTGAGATATAGGAGAGAGAGAAAGAGATGAAGCGGGAATTTGTAGAAGCCAATTTTGATGAAGTAAAATAAGTTTTCCGGATGTTTGATTCAGTTTGCTAGAAAATATAATGATGCTGCTGATGAAAATGATAAAGGGTGTAAGTATACGGGTAATATGATGAAAAGTTGGCTTACGCATATTTCGAGCAAGTTGTATTTTATTGCCGTTCGGTGCCTGAAGAAGAAATTTTTCAAATATTGTTGTCAGTTAATATCCATCGAGATGTTTTTATCAGTAAACTGTTGTTATTGCTACAGTTACGATCAGTGTTACTATTATTACTACTGTTTGCTGCTATTGATTTAGCTTAAAGAAACGCTAGCATTTTTTTTTTTTTTTTTTTTTAAGAATGAAAATGTATGGGAAAAAAGAATAAGTCAATGTTCTATATGTAATTGTATATGTATATAATGGAGCATTGGCGTACGTTACGTTTAATATTCGTATTTGAAATGCTGATGTTTAAATGTTATGTGAGTATACGCATGTACAATTTTCGTAGCTGTTTTTTCTACATTTAGCTATAGTTTTGTTTTTCTTTTATAGTAATTTTATTTTTCATATTTTGTGGCTGCCTCTACCTTGATATATATATATGAACTTATGCGTGTTTCTTTTTTCTTGTGTGTGCGTGCACGTATGTATGTGACAGTGTACTTTTCATTTGGATTTCTTGGAGCATTTGATTTTTCTTCAGAGAAGAGAAGCTGGCTTGGTGATGGAAGCATCATTTCAAATCTTCACTGTTACGATTTAAAATTATTAAGTTATCATTAAATATATTACAAAAGATAAAGAAATAGTGTAATGTTGGTTCTTCACAGGGCTATGAAAAAATAAATTAGAGTGACTTATTACATTATTCATTATATTACATTGTAAAACATGATGCTTTCATCAAATAATCTTTAGCACCTCAATTCAAGAATGTTTACATGGCATATGTACTGGATTTTGTTTTTAGTTTTCATTTGAAAATTGATTGGGTCGTAGTTTGCTATGATTTTAGGAATATTTGGACTGTAACGTGAGATTCATGATAGATAATAATCCTTGTTCTCCATCTCTTTTTTCTAGTAATATACTGCAATGGTTATGGTTGTTTATGGCTTTTGTATACAATACATGAAAGATATAGGACAAAATATATGAAATGAGCAAATGGACAAAAAGTTTTGAATAATTTTTATATGGTTATGTAACTGTTTGTTTGTTTGTTTTTTTTTTTTTTTTTTCAAACTGACAATTTGTTCTATCAAACCATTTTGCTGACTAGCTGATGAATTAATTGATTTAATTGATGTGCGTGATTAATTAATTTCGTGTCTTTGAAGTGTAAGTTTCTGAGTCATTTTTAAATTGCTCTCGTTAAAATTTTTGTTCATTATTGGAATGCCTGGTTTTGTACAAATTTCAATTTCTACTTTTCAAATACTTGATACTATTATGACTACTATTATGTTCATCAGCACTATAAATAGTAATTTTTTTCTCTGTTTCATTTTCCATCTGATAAAATTCCTACTTTTTTTCCATCCTTTATCCTACAAAAAGGCCGTTTTTCGCTTTTTGTTTCTTTTTTATCACTTCGTTTTCATTTCTTATTTTTTTTACTTTTATTTTCTCAATTTGGGTTATACTGTGATATCGGTTAATGCTACACGCGTCTGTGTGCGTATGTGTACGTTAATTATGTAACGCTGTCGCAAAAGTAATGGTTGAAAGAAAAATGAAAGCGATTATTAGTAGCGGAAATTGACGGCGATCTTTCATGCTTTTAATTGTAATTTTGCTAAAATTTTTGACATTTAAAAGTTAATCTGGTGTAATGTAAGCTTTTCAAAGTGCTTTCCCAAAAAATATCTCGAAAGTTCGCTTACCAAGAAATAGTTAAAGGGAGAAGATTTTGTCATGTTGGGAATAGGAAAAGAAACATACGAAGTCGGTTTATTATTGTTATCATTGTCATATATCCTCACCCGTTTTTGGCTTTTATTTTTTAATAAACTCCGCTGTGTTTGCCGTTGGTTTTTTTCTATTTTAAATTGAATTAAACTATTTTACTTCATCATTTGTTTTCTGAACTTCCCTTTTTCATTTTAGAATGTTTCTTTCTTTTTCTCTCAATGTGACATTTTATTGTATTGTGTGTTGTCTCTAAAAACAATCGAATTTTTGTTCATACGAAATGGTTTATTTTATCGTTTTTTTTCCTTTTTTTTTTTAATGAATTATAAAATGTTTGAAGTAATGCGTACAACAAAATAATACAGACGGTGTTAATATGTTGCTTACTGCTTAAGAGATGGTTTGAAATTTTTGAAATTATTATTCCTTCCGCACCACATGTTAGGCGGACTTTGTAAGAAACTATGAGAATATAGAAATGATGTGTATGATGTAAACAGTAAACAAACAATCAGTTAATTGGAAGTATGCAGCGTTTTTACGATTAATGATGACGTAGAAGTCCGTATATACATCATAATACTGTTAAAGTTAATTGATAGTTAATTAACTGGAATACAGAATTTCCGTACAAATACAAAATACAAAAATTAAATAAGCAAATTATTGGCAGTCATAAAGTTTCTTATTTAGTCATGATATTTCAAAAAAACGAATCGGAAATGTCGCATTTATTTACATAATCTATTTTTAACCTGCTGGAATATATATAAGTTATCAATCGATTTCTAAATTATAATTTCTCAATCCTAAAAATACTATAAAAAAGGGAATGTGATTATCTCAATACAATAAATTTTTCTAAAAATTATAAAAAGTTGGAAATTTGTATTGCTACAAACTTGCATTGCCTTAAGCGATTACTTTTGACAATCATATTGAATATTGGGTAAGTTATTTTCCTGATATTATTGGATCATTTTCACATATATAACGGGTTAATAATCACAAATAATACAGCTATTATCATTATAATTATTTTTTTGAATGTCAAATTTAAAAATTTGACTTCCAAATTTTAGCTTTTTTCCCTACACTTCTATTCATTTCATTTATTCTGTTTGTGTTTTTCTATTTATTTATTCTATCAAATTGATAAGGAAAAATGTAGAAATAGTAATTAGTACAGTAGAAATGTCAAATAATTACTCATTTAATTTATTTATCTGCTCAAATATGTATATACATACATGCTTTAAAATAAAACGGAAGCAATAAAAAGAAAATTGTTTGATTTCACTGTCGATAGACAATTTCTTGATTAATTATTAGTTCTTTTTTTTTTTTTTTTAATTTTAAATATTATAAATGGCATATATTTTTGATATAGACGGTTTTTTTTTTTTTTTTTTTTAATTTAATATAAATATTTGTGATGTAATTTGCCATACTACTAATAATATGTTATATTTAAGACACAAAATTACTAGTTTATTTTTGGAATTTTACAAATAATTACAAATGAAATAAGTGGTTTTTTTTTTGAGTTTAGCCAAAATAATAAGCTCCAAGACAACACTCTATCACCTAAAATTATTTTTAAATAGATATATATTTTAAACTAACGTATTTTTTATTTATTATAACAAAATGAAAAATTGACTTATTATTTTCTTTATCTACTATTTTTGTTTATTTCATTTAAAACAAATTTCCCCTATTTAATTATTTAATTACATTCTTTTTCAGTCTTTTCTCTTTCACTATTTTTTGTCGGCTTTCTTTTCTTTTTTACAACAAGAAAAAAAATAAAAAAAAAGAAAAGAAGCAACGAAAAAATGATACTTTTTTATGAGGGGAAAATTTGAAAGGTCATACTGAGGTCATCATCATCATTATCATCATTCATTCATTCATCATTTGAAAGTAATTTAGGGATAGTAGTAGTGGACACGTGTTCAGATTAGTCACCTTAAGTGTATATGTTCATTGAAGCATAATAGTTAAGTATTACTATTACAATTACTATTATATTTTCATGCATTGATTTGTTCGCTTGTCTCAAAGAATTCATTGCATTCATTGTTAGTTTGTTTGAATGGAATGAATGAATGAAATGAAATGAATGGGTGAATGACTGTTATGATCGTACACAAAGGGGAAAAGTATTCATTACTTTCTCTTTTTCATCAAAGTATGAAACCATTAAGAGATTTTTAGCTAAAAGAAAAGGTAAATAATTTCATTCATTAGTACTAAGATTTTATAAGATATAATTATTCATTTTAATTATTGTTATTATTCTTTTCAAATTTCTTGATTAACGAAAATTAAAACTGTAATGTATGATAGTTTAAAAGTATTTTTTCTTAACTGGATAATCCATGCATCCAATTAG